CTTCAAAATGCCGAGACTCAGACAGAGAGGGAGGTACAGGAGCAGGAATCCGCCTCTGCAGGGACCGGGGAAGGTAGGAGTTTAAGCAGTCACTTATCTGACAGAGCTTATCTGGTGACTGAGGAGTTTCCACATAGATTCTAAATCTTATCAATGCATTTAGACACTCTTGTTTATCTCTTTAGCAAAGATTTCTCCAGCCTAATTTGCCTGTAGCCAGGCCAAGGTGATCAGGATAGTGAATCTCTGACTGTACAAATAGAGAAGTTGTCTTTTCCACATGTTGTTAGAGGGAAAAATGAGCTCGAGATTGTTGTGTCTTTGGAGAATCACCTGTACTGAATTCACTCCTCACAAATCTCCTGAACTCCTAACCATCAGTAGGGTTACAAACTGGTAAGAATTATCCTTTCTGCCTCTGTGTTAGAACCTAGCTTGGTTCTACCGACCTCTGCATCTAAAACCTGTGCAGGCTTCACAAGCTTAGCGTTGGGATACAGAATAAAATACTGTAAATTACTTCTCACAAAGCAGGTATGAGCATTCTGTTTAGTCCGATGATTGAAGGCTGTGATGAGCATCTAGCTCAGCTATTCAAAAACGCCTCTAGTGTTTTCCAGTCCAGGAAAGTTTTACCAGCATGTAAACAACTGGATACAGCTGATATCCATTTCCTATGTAATTGTAAAATCACTGATCTTTTGAAAGCATAGTCGGGCTTCTCATCTCTACACTGTAGCATTGTGCTTGAATCCAACTCTGAAGGCTTGACTAGGAAGGAGTTAGGCAGTATGTATGTAGGAAAGGCAGACAAAGTCAAGGGGACAGTTTTGAAGGTGTTGCTTTATTATGAACTCACTTGGCTTTGGGGGAAGCAGCCCATGACATGCCCATTTGTATCTGTATGCTTACTTGTGCTCTGTCACTTTGAAAGTTGCTTTCTGGCACATGACTCTTCCAAAGTTTCTGTTGTGCAGCTTCCAGCCTGTGTGTTAAGGCGTGACGGTTCTCTCATGTCAGCTCTTCTGTTCAAAGTTAAGTGGCAAATTCCGGACCCATGGGGTTTCCCGTTTGTTTATCTCAACAGAGCTGGGATTAACCTCTCTGGAAGGTTCGTACAGTTGAGGGCGTGTGAATAAGGCTGGAACACAGGATGTCTGGACACATGCTGAACTCGAACTGGTTCTTCCACTGACTCTGTGGTATGCAGTCTGAAAACAGGGTACCCTGTGGGACCTTGCTGCATCTAGGCCATTGTGGCTGATGCTGCAGGCTTTTGGGGGTCTTTCTTGGCTCTGTTAAACCAGTGGAGTTCTCCAGAGCTTCTTTGCTGTTGTTCTGCAGTCGTCCGAAAGTTCAGTTACCTTGTTTTTTCTAATTAACCTTTAAATTGTTTTTAACTAGACTGTTAATGAGATATAGGGAAAGTCTGTCTTTTACCAGTACCTTGGGCAGAGTATCTCTACAAAGGAGTAAAACATGTAAGTATATGGAAGAAAAGGAAGTGTAGATAAGCCTAGAACAGACTTCTCTTTGTCTTCTTTTCTTGCTTGGAAGAAGATTGATGGGTTCCACATCTAGTGTGGTCTCTGGCTAGATGCTTGCTTATCATATGTCCCCTTGCAAGTGGCCTCACCTGTGAAATGGGCTGTCACACTCCTACTGTATAAGCATCTTTAAAAGAAAGGAGTTATTCCAGCATGGACATATGTGCTGAAGATGAGCCAAGCAGTCTTCTTACCCTGTGGTCGATCAGTTCTTACACCAGTTGCATCCTTAGTGAAAATCCCTGTGCAAAGACTCAAGAGCCCCTCAAAGCAGGAAGCTGTCAAGAGATTAACTGTCAGGAATGTGGAGGATCTGAAAAACCTCTGTAATCCATGACAGAGGAAGAGTACAAGGACGTATCGTGAAGCAGAAAGACAAATTTTCAACTGTTACCAACACCTCAGCTGGTCAGCTGGAGACCTGGGGTGTCAGTGGTCTGGTTCATCCAGGAGCTTTTATGCTTCACGTTATACTTGAGCCCCATTGTGCTGCTCATGGCATTGGGATTATTGTATTTCCAGCATCATAAACACTTCAGGTGCTCATCCAATGTGTTCAGGAGGCTGTGCTGGTTTTGTGATGGTTAATTTGCCCGCTGTATCGACCATAACTTTTTGAAACTGTTGAAAAGGAATCAGTGCTTCCTAATAGCAGGATCTAGATGTCAGAGACATGAAGGGGAAAAAAAGGGAAAAAACATACTACTAGTAGCTTGGCATGTGACCTAGAGCAAATTATTAATCGTCTACCCAATGGGAATAAAAGTACAGTACACCAGGGACTGTGAAGATTAATTAGTGTTCTGTATGGGGCTTTGAAGATGTAAATCACTACGTAAAGGCTTAGCTGTATTACCAGCAACAGAATGGATAAATCAGACGTGGTTCTGAGTAATGTAAAGTGTTTTAGTTATCATGAGGGAAAAAAACAAACAAAAGAAAACCCAAATGAACACACCCTTGAATGTTAAAAGAAAAATATAAAAATAAATAAATAACGGAACAGCTAGTGCTACCCCTAAGCGTGGGTTTCTGTCCTATGTCCTGTCAGCCTCGCTGTCGTGGGGAATTCTGGCTCAAGGCCTTTTTTGCAGATACATGCTTACTGCACAAAAAAGTATGCAGAATTGCATCAGAAATCTAATTAAGCTCTGTGTGGGTATAAATAGTTTCCTTTTCTCATGCAAAGCTCTGCGGGGACTTTGCTGTTCTGATTATCTTTCTGCCTCCTTTGGAGGAATGAGTATATGATGGCTTTGTTAGAAGTGAATCCCTCTAATGTCTGTATCTTTTTGGGGGTTTTTTCGGCAGTTGGTAGCTGTCTTGTGAACTCTGCTCCCAAGCCACACATAAACCAGAGGAAGTTAGAGTTGGGAAAAAACTAGGAGAGGTACCAAGAGATGCCTAAAAGAGTGTTTCAGCTGTCTCTGACTTTCTTTTAAGCTGACAGACATAGTGGAAATTGTGATGGAGTTGTAACTTTGAGGCGCTCTTAATTAGAAACAGTCTGTTGGGAGTTAGACTACGCTTTCCCTAGCAAATGGACAGACATGATCGGGAAGGGATCTATATTCAACTGGCAAATTAAATGTCACTTAAACAACAACAATTCCTGATGAAATTTGATGGCGCAAAGCTTTAACCTTTAGAAATTGTAATTCCCGGTCGAGACTGGGTCACATCATGGCTGTCACTTGTTCAGGCTGCAGGAGCTGTGATGTGGGGTGCAAGTGACAGTAACTGTCAGAGACTGCAGCTGTGCAAAAAGCGCACAGTTCCACAGCGCAGGACACTTGTTTGTGCACCCCTGCTGTCCCCTGGCCATTGACAGTGTATCAGTACATCTTTCAGGTAACCCAGTTGTTTGAAAAAATATTATTCAAAGAATATGTTAAAAAAAATAAGCTGCACTCAAAAAATCCCCACCTTGATGGAAATAACTGAAAGGCAATTTTAATCTCAGTTCCTATCATCTGCATTGTCTTTGGGGCTTAAAATTCCGATAGCTAGCACAGTGCTCATTGTGCACATAAGCACGTTATGAACTAATGAAACTGTAGCCACTGGAAGACTTGCTGTCAGTGCATTTTTGCCTGTCTTTGGAGGAGCAACGTATTGACTACTATTACACCGTATACAGCTTTTAACCTATTTGGTTTGGTGTTTTTCACCAGCCGGTACAAATTTCCATCCTGTCCAACTGCTTTCAGAGGTCGCAGCAGATACTTTTGAGAGGGGAAAGGGATAGTGAAGTGAAGTGAGGGCTTGGGTTTGGGGGATTCAGTCTGTTCAAACTATTAGTAGTGAAAAGACAGCACATGCAAGTGAAACTTTCCTGCTGTAAGTAAAGCATCCTGAGGATGCCTGAGGAGCACTTATGACAGAGTCAGTGTGCCTGCATGTGATGTAACTTACTTTATCTGACACATTAGGAACGTGTGTCAGGGGACTGCATAGGCAGGAGTACCCTGTCCCCAGCCAAGCCTCATGAATGCTGAAAAGAAACATGTTGTTTTACGTTAGCTGAACGTGTTCCTGCAATGCTGTTGTCAAATGCGATGTGACTTCTGTGCAATTAGTGTGGAAATGCAAACCAGGGCGCCAGGGATCAACTTCTAGATCTGCCTCTCATTCTCCAAGTAGAAACGTGGGTAGATCCCTTAGCCTTTCATCTGCCTGTCCATCTGTAAAGTGTGCGTCATATGTCCTATAGAACTGCAAATTTCAGTTTCTCTTTAAAGAAAAGCACTACCCGAAAAATAGAATCAGGTTCTGGAAGCATGTACTACGCAAGCCTTTACAGTGTGAGCTACTCCAAGTACCTGGCTCTCGTGGGATTAAATTATGGGGCTACTTTTAAACTCTCATTACAAAACTGAGTTTCACTTGTACAAGGAGAGATAACTCATGATAAATTTGTTACAAGTCAAAGCAGTTATCTTGTCTGAGTTCTCTGGAGTTGTTTCAGAAAGGAACCGTGAACATGCTTCTAAGCTTGTTTGGGGAGTCAAGTAACTGGTAGTATTTTTTCTGGCTCTAAACGAGATGTGATTATTCGTAGCTGGTTATGCTGTGTTGTGACCCTCCCTTTCCTATTCTTATGCAAGGAGTGAATTAATTTAAAATGCTGATATTTTTATCTGTAAGCATCTGAATTAGTGGGTCAGTTCACACCTCGGAGCTATTATTCCATGTTCTCTGAAGACTTAGATATCTCTGCAGTGCTTACTCTTAGTACTAATTTTGAAGCTTTGTTTGTAAGCGTGGGTACTAACTACTGATGGTTTTAGAAAGAGGAAGGCTGAAAACAGGAAAAAATTGAAGACCAGTGTCAGTATATTGCATGGCTATGGAAGAGCCTGATCTCATCCTTGCTTCTGTGGGCTTTGCTCTTTATCTGGTGTGTGCGGTCCATGCCCAGAGACACGTAAGTTGTACTCCCTGTAAGTGCTTCAGTGACCACTTTATTTAAAAGTGGAAATGCTTCTGCCTCATGCCAGCTCCACTGGAAGTTTGTGAGATGTTTCACCTTTGTAGTTTTCTGTGTCAAATTTTTGACTTTCTGGAGTAGCATGGCAGAGGACTTCTAAAGGCAGATGCATTAGCTAGAGAGTATTTTGTGATGTTGGAGTGACTCAGCTAGACTGACAGAAATCCTCTGGTTTTTGGCATGTAATTACTCTCAAGAGTAGTATTTTATGTCCGTGTTTGAGATGGATGGGGTTTTGGACCTCTGGAAAGGACACTTCCATTAGAGAGAAAAGGTTTGAAGGAACACAGCACTGTGGACGCAACACTGATACTTACTTGTGTTGTAGAAAGAAACCATGGGAGATGCTTTTCTGTCCCGTCAGGCACAGAACTTGCGTCCCTGTCCAGAAGAAGATGGAAATTGTGTCTCAAGATTGCTTCCTGCTCTGTAGTGGATTCCAATGCAGGGACAACGTAGGTGGAGGACAGCATGAGAGGCATTCTGCTTACATGAGTACTTCACATACTGTAGCTGATTAGCCCAATTTTCTAGATCTTGTCTGTAAAGCATTTTACAGAGTCTGGGAGGTCAGATTGTAGTTTTGAACATGAAATGAGAGAAAAGGAGAGAAATGGCCTTTTCCGTACGGAGAGTTAGATGTGCTGTCACTTGTCCTACTCCTGCACAGACTCAGCTTCATGATCTGGTGGATATACCTAAAGCTTGTGGAGTCTGTATTTGTGTCACAAGTATAGGATTTCCTCTGTGTTCTGGTTTTGTTTAGCTGATGGTGCAGGGAATGGGGTTTGGCCACTGCAGCAAGTTGAAACTTCTAGCAATCTGAGGTGTGGGGTTTACGTCACTGCTGTTGTTTTGGGTAAGTGCCTGCGTGCACATTCTGGACCTCCACCAAATGGAAGTTAGCTTATTTCACTTGCACCGTGTACTAGTGTAGTCTCCATTGGCAGCCTGGTGAAAGAACGTGTGTGGGAGTCACCAGGCGGTAGAAACGGGCTGTGTGTGAATCTGTGCTGTAGCTCAGCTCAGGGCACATGGCACAGGAAGCTTTGCTCTGAACCAGTCAGCCAAAGTCGCTGTCAAAACCCGAGGGGGAAAGGGGAAGACAGCCCCCAAAACAGCGGTGCCTGCTGGCTGCTTCAATGGTGAGGCTTATTTCTGTCCCTTGACAGGCTGTCTTTCTGGAATTTCCAATACTGCTGTATCGCTGTGCTCACAATCTGAAGGTTCGTGACTTGTTGATATCTACTGTGGCATCAGCCGTGGCGTGTTGTCTGAGCAAAGCGACTGCCTCAAATGGCAGTTCAGCCATGGCACGTGGTAATTAAGGGGCAGGGAAGAGCAGAGGGTGCTGTGCTCTGTGCTGCCTGTGTGGACTCTTCTGGTGAAGCACGTTTGTAATGCCAAGGAGCAGTGCCTGGGCATCCCTGCTCATTTGCTGTTCTTGTGTTCCTGTATTGGGCTAGTTTGTAGTAAGTGATCCGTCAAGAGCACAGTACCTGCTGTTTCAGGACTTGTGTAGATAGGGCTGGCTGGCATGTCTCCAAGCCAGGTTACACGTCTTGGCTTCCTCAAGCTTCCTCTTTGGCCTGGCCAGATGGTGGGTAACAAATTAGGACTGTGCCCTCAGAAGGAATCGATGACTAGATCCAAAACCACGCTTCTCAAACCTTCCACTTCTGCTTATTATTCATGCTTCAGTATCCCCTGGCATGCATGTTTTTCACACTGAAGGTGCTAGTCTAATAGCTGCCTCTGCTCCCAGTCTTTGTGCTGGTCAGCCAGATTCCTCATCTGGGCATCAGCCACATCCTGAACAGGATTTCTCAGCTGGAGTTGTGGATCAGGCTCTGCCCGGGGAGTATTGTTGCTCCCTTCTCTAGGCTCTGCTCCAGATTCTCATGTGTTTACTGGTGTCTGTGTGGTCTCGTTGATGCTCTAACAAAAGAGCTATGTAATTGCTGTACGTATAGTGGGTATACCAGGCTTACTACATTCCTAGCAGAAAGGGACTTACTCTACTTGTGAGAATTAAATTTGCCCTTAATGTCCGTAGTGCTTCTGCTGCAGGGCAGCATGTTGGCAGATCTTCTTGAAGATGAAATGAGCCGTACCCCATGGTGGATGAAGTTGGTGGTGTTTGATGCAAGTAACACTGAGCCCGTAGGGGAAGGGAATAAGCTGTCACTGACTGACTGCATAATATGTTAACAGCTTTAACTATCTTTCTTTTTGAAAAAATAGCCTCTACAGTGGCATGATGTAGACTGTGCTGAATACCCCAGCTCCCATATTGGGAGCTCCACCCCACAACAACCCCGAGCAGTTTTGGTCTCCTAGTCACCGTGGCATTTCGGGTTTTATTGTGTTTTAACTCCTGCCTACATCTAGCCCCGTTGACATTTGTGTTCATTTCCTTGGTGCCAGGAGAGCTCATGGCTTTCTCCTCTCCTTTAATCAGCACTGCGATAGCTTCGTGGAGCTGGGATTGAGATTTATCTCTTTAATAAGAATTGTCAGGTTCCCACTGTGGAACGATTCTAGCGGTTTATGATTACAGATTGTTTTCTGCAAGCAGTCTGGGTAGGGTTTGAAGCAAAAGCAGAATGCTGAGAAGCAGAGCTGGGCTGGGGAAAACTTTCCTGGCATAGAGATTTAATCTCCTATGTGGACTGTTCTGTGAGATTTTGTTCTTCAGAAGTAATCTTCAGCAGCCAAGGCATCTGACAATGGTTCCCGCAGAGCTTATTACAGCCTGACTATGAGGAGACAGACTCTAGATCTTAAGAAATGTTTTTTTGCATTCCTCAAAAGGTATTAGTCAAGGGGAGCAGGAGACTTTTCCTTGATCATAGGTGATGTGGAAGCACACTCTATGTCCTGTAGCTGCTCTCTGCTCTTGGCCAGCTGCCTCTATCCCCTCTGCTACTGAGACTGCCATCATGTCATCTGCCTGGGGTGTTCTCAAACAGATTAAGTAGGAAAGACCACAGGACTCTCTAACACCATGGTGAAATGCTTGGTTTATTGCAGTGCGAAATGAGGTTTTTCTTTCCGCCCCTGGGGGACTGGCTGGAATGTCTCTGCAGCTGTGAGAGGGCAAAGCATGCTCGTCTTTTTTCCCCCACCTGTATTGACTAGATAAAAGAGTTGCTTCTCAAAGGCTTGGACATGCAAGTCTGGGAGGGATACCTGTGGGAGCAGCCAAGATTTTCTTGACAGAGTTCAGTGCCTTTGTCTGGCACTCCACCAAAAGCTATGGAAAGAAAATGTTGAGCTCCCTCTGGAGCAAAACCCAGATTTTGTCCTAGCACATGTGCGCAGTGTGATGCCTGCTTTCTCTTTGTGTCGTAGTTTGCCGTGTACATCAAGGTTGCTTCTGCTTTCTCTTGCAGGTGAAGGTCCAGAATATGGGGCCAGTGGGGAGGATGCCCTGAGCAGGATCCAAAGGCTGATGGCGGAAGGGGGCATGACTGCCGTGGTCCAGCGGGAGCAGAGCACCACCATGGCGTCCATGGGTGGCTTTGGCAACAACATCATTGTGAGCCACCGGATCCACCGCAGCTCTCAGACTGGTGCAGAGTCCACCGGAGCTGAGGGCACGTCAGCACAGCAGTCCACCTCACAGCAGCTGGCAGCTGAGCTAGAGGGACGGATCCTTTCAGAGTCTATGCAGCTGTCGGAGCATGGCCTGAGCCCGCGGACAGCCCCTAGTGGGAGTGAAGGACAAAGCGCTGGTGATCTGGACCTGCCAGAGCAGGCCCAGTCCTCCATGGACACTGAGGGACCAATTGAATACAGTGACCTAACTAATAATAACCATCTTCCTGACAGTACCAACTTCTATAATAATGACAGCACCAGTGAGGAGTCACGGAACAGGTAGAGATTGAGTTGTGTGTTGGTGCTACCCTTGTACTGCTCAGCAGAGACCTGTACCTCACAGCTGGCCAGGAGCTGGAAGACTAGGGACGTGTGGCTCTCGCAGGATGCTGGTGGTTCAGAGGGCTTCTCTATCCTGGGTGAGTGGGAAGGGATAAGGACTGCAAGGGAAGCCATGGGGAAGAAAGCTACTTAACTTCCAACATTCCCGCTGCTGAAAAGTTAGGAACATGAACTGTACTGGCTGCATATCGTGCAGATTTTGAGGCCATGGGATTCCCCTGAGCTCAGCCCTAACCCTGCAATTCGGTCCCTGTCATTCTTTGTAAAGCTTCTTTCCTTTCCTCTTTCCTGCCTTTTTATGCCCAGGGGCTGATGAGTTGCGTGAAGAAAGGGAAGGGGGCCCGCAGCATCCTTCTGGAGACAGGCAGCCCACTGGGCAGAGCTGGGCGTGATGCTCCAGCTCTGTTGCTGGAGTGGAGGAGTCTTCCAGACTGCAGCCCCACTCTGTGGCACAGCACTGCTCCCCCCTCAGAGTGTCGCGTTCTGAGACCCGTCCTGCCTGTGCTGTGGTCTTTTCTGGGAAAAACTGGGCTTTGCCAAAACCTGCATGGCTCAGGAGCTGCTCACAGGTGGGGATCCTTCCTTTTTAGAGAGTTACTTTAGTACTTGGCAGGAACCTAAGCAGAGCTGCAGTATAAATGGGTAGAGGGACAGGGGCTACTGCTGTCTAGTCAGGATGCAGTTCACACAAGGATATTCTAAGCTGTGCCAATATATTAACATGAATGAGCCATCCCAGTGGTTTCGTGGTGCCAGGACTGAGCTACACCTCCTTGGCAGGGGGCGGGAAATGTCTTTCAGCTTCAGGCCAGGGTGTGAGGTATGAGTCTGTGATGTAAGGTGTTGCATGTGAAATCTTGACCTTGTACATGTAGTTTCTAGTGGAGAAGTCAAGGCTCTGATATTTTGGTTTTAGTCTCAAATGTGATTTTCCTTTTCGTTTGTAACTCTCCATCCCTAGCAGGCTTGTGGAGGAAGGACGGGGAGAGCGTGAGTGCTAACGAGGGAAACACCAAAGATCAATGTCATTAAAATATGACAAACCCTTGCTTGACCTACCGTCTTCATTTGTGTGATGATTTCTCTCTTCTTCAGCCTTGGGATAGGTACATCCAGCTCAGAAGCTCGAGATAGCTCACCAAAGTCAGATGATGGCCATCTCTTTCCCAGGAGGAAAGCAGGCTCAGCTTTTGCGTTGGAAGCCCAAAACTGGGAAACGGGGAGGAGCATTTGGGGATCTTAATTGCGCATTGCCTTTTAACCAGTCTGGAGATGAGCACGCACTTCTGTGTTTCCCATCATTCAAGTACTTCATGAGGAGAAAGGGGTAGCGTTTCTATTATCCTGCTTGAAAAGGAACATAGATGCAGCGCTATCTTAGGCAAGCAGAGCAGTCTGTCTTGCTGACCTCTCAGAGCAGAAAAGGGGTGCAGTATCTAGCTGTTCTGGGTGAAAGAATTCATGCTCTGGTGTTAACACTCCTCAGTGAAGGATGCTACCCCTGCTGTCTGAGCCCCTGCCAGCAGCTGCTGCGCTCCTGCCCAGCTCCTCTAGACTCTGTGCTGCAAAGACATTACAATAAATAAGGCTGTCATTAGGCAGCACTCAAGCTCCCAGTCAGAAGAGTCTGTTAGAGAGCATTAAGCAAATCTTCTCTTAAATCACAGCCTGGAAATGAACTTTAAATCAAATCAGCTGCTGCCAGGCCTCATTGCAGAGTGTTAATGAGGCTCTAAAACCTGCCCCAAGCCAACCACATGCCTGATCTGACAGGAGAGCAGCCTGAAAAACAGGATTCCCTTGTGCGGTGGGGAAGGTTTCATGCATCCCTGTATTGCTTCATTGTGGGGTGGCTTGAGGATGTGCTGGCACTTGGGAGCCAGAGGAACTCTGTCTCAGCTGAAGACTTGGGCAGGCAGGGCGGTGCAGGTGTAGGCAGAGCTGTTTACCGGCGTGATTCCTGGAAGAGTCCTGAGGCCCGTTTTTGGTAGATGTGTTGCAGAATATTTACAGGTGTCCATTTTCAGAGCCAGCACCAAGCTACCCACAGAAAAATTTCCATCACGGTTGGAGAAAGGTCTTCTGGGATGCCTCACTCCAGTGTTGGCAGATTCTCTGCAGCTTGGTGTGCACTGTTGCTGGGCACTCTGGCCAGGCTGCTGTGCAGAGGATTGAAGCCTGCTCTGCTGAGGACTTCCCCTTGCTCCAGTCCTGCCTCCAGTGGAGACAGGGACAGAGCAGGTAATGAGCTTCAGTGAGAGCAGGAGCAAACCACAGCTGCTGTCTTTGACCTCGACTCAAGATGTCTCTGAAGCTCCAAAGCAGCTTTTCGTTTGAGGCTTGCAGGAGAAACTCTCCCAGATGAGGTAAGGATGGAGGCCTGATCACAACAGGCAGCTGGTAACAGCTGCAGCCTGACTCCTGTGTTCATACAGGCTTTAAGCAGGAACGATGGGCAGGGTGGGTGTGGGTGGGCTTAATCTTCAGATGCTGCCTTGGACAGGCTTTGTAGATGACCTGCTGCGGCCACATAACAAGGTAGGTGTTCTCAGTGGTGGTGGGCTTGTATGTAGAGAGCGCAATGCTGCTTTTCGAGTTTCAGACCTAAAATCTGCCAAGCTCATTTTTCCTCCCTCCCTGAGACCTGGTAGAGGGTGGTGGGTGGGAAGAGAAGGCACGGGAAAGAAAATCGAATACACTTGTGCCACGGAGTCACTTTTTTTCCCCCCACAATGCAATTTGTATCTTGTACCTTCCATGCTTCTTGTGGAGCAAAACTCTTCTTTCTGCCTTGGACTACCCTGTTCTGGCCCAGCAGTCTTCTGTGGTTCAGGCAGGGCTGAGCTGACCTCAACCCTCGAGCATCACCCCTGAATCTGCACAAGGACCTGAGGCCCGGAGCCCTGTGTAGAAGAGGAGGTGGTGCCATTGTCTGCGTCCAGGACCAGCACAGCAGCGGCACGGGGCTCCTTCCCCACGCCTCGCAGCTCACCTGCCAACTGCAGTGTGATAAAGCAGTGCTGAGGGAAACGTCCTGCCGGGAGCAACGTGGAAATTCAACAAGAGCTGCCTGAGGAAACCAAACCAGAGCTGTGCATGCTTGCTGGCCCAATTTAGGAGGCAAAATGAGAACTTCGCTGCGTAGGAGCAGGAAATAATCTTAAAAACCAAAAGCTTTTCTCAGCCTTAGCCTGTCAGGAGCCTTTAAATGTGCTAACAAAATCCCGGGGAAAGGAGAAATACGGTGCAGAGAATTTTTAGCTTTCAAAGGGCTTTTGATAAAAGTCCCTCACAAAAGACCAGTAAAGAAACTTGGTCACCTCAAGGGTGAGGGGTAGAGTCCTCCTGGAGATGTTTGAGGTGGGAATTGGAGTTGAAAGTAACAGCCGATTCTTGGCGTGGAAAGAGGTTAATGGTGGGTTGGTGGGGTTCGGTAGGAGCCAGTATTCTCTAACAGCCCTAATGAGCTGGAAAGGGAAGGGAACAGCTGAAGATACAAGATTATTTAGGTTAGCTAGGAAGAAAAAAAGGTGCCAGAAGCCCGGAACGGCAGGAGGAGCTGGTGGTGGTTGGAGCTGCTGTGCCAGAAGAGGGCATTTGTGTGAATCCTTCACAGCGCTACCCTTGCATGGGCACTGCTGCAGCTGGTGAATGGTCAGCACCCCTCGGCCTGGGACCAAGCCAGCTGGTAAGCCCTGCCTGGATGGAGGTTTAGGATCCCACGGAACATTGACAAAGCCCTGGCAGGTGCTACAGCAAAGTGGTGAGACCCAGTTGTTCCTGTGAGTCCTGTGTTTTCTACCCTCTCTCCTCTTCTGGCCTGTTGCTCTTATCTCCAGCACCTCGGTTTGACTGCCCCTGTGAGTCCCACGCCGTACCCACATCTGGCCAGCTTGGGGTGACCCCATAGCTGGGTAGTGCTGGGATTCCTGATGGCCAGGAGCTGTGCTGAGCAGGAAGGAGGGCAGGGACCAGCTCACAGCTGGGTGCACAGAGGGTCTGTCCCCTCTCATGGTCAGTACGGGTGCCAGAGCTGAGCCTTGTAGCCAGCTCCTCTACCTGCCACTCAGGCTCCCGGCTGAGGAGCAGCTGCCCTCTCTGCTCCATCCCAATCTGTCAGGGAAGCTGTTCTCCAACAGGAAAAGGCAAATTAATTAAAGTGTTGCAGCATGTGAGCCATCCACCTCTAATTGGGACCTCGGTGTGCAGCGCACAAATGTCGCGCTGCTGCTGTCTCTGCATCGAGAAGGGCCCTTGGCCAGCGAGGGGG